ACGAAATAAACATTGGATTATTTTCTATGATATGTATTAGAATTTACCGATATTGAAGGTTGTGATTTAGTAGATGTAACAGGTAGCGGAAACTTTGGATTAATTGGTTTATCGATAGGTGGCCCCTAGAAAAATGTCTATTATTAAATAAAATATTTTACATAGATTAGAAAACAAACCGGTTCATGTTTACTCATTGGTGCATGGAAACCTTTAAGACTTATTAATAGAATTACATTGACAAGGAAGAATACACCAGTAGTAATGAAGATTTTTTTAAGAATCGATCGCATTTTAATAGCATATTATCCCTTTGAATAGTTCATAATCTACAAAAATATATATTGTTTTGTATTTTTAAATTAATTCTTCGAATTTTTAATACAAATTAATAAAACTTCTATGTAATTTCGGTTTTGAACATTTCTGTGTGATTAATAAACTTCAAAGTAGTTTAGTTTTGGTTTAATGACAGTAAATTTGAATTTTCATTGAGAATAGTAGAAAAGTTAATGTTAGATGGAATGTAGTTTTCGAACGGTTAATGGAAGCACCAATATAAAATAGTTGACGTATGTAATGCTTCAGAAAATGTCATTTCGACTGAAAGTAGGCGACATCTACTTGAATCAAAAATTGGGATATGAAAATACACGTATCCTAAGAGTGTAGATGAAATAGAGTGCCTACACCCTAGTGTCCTGCGGGAACGACTTTATTTGCTTCCCATTCCCTGTTCCCATTCCCTTATTTTTTTTCCTAACTTCCCATTCCCTGTTCCCATTCCCTTAGTTCCCTGAATTTTCAAAGGCTCTCTTCATCTACAAGAAAAGGGTCATTACCATATATGTATACCAGTTGTTGTTGACATCACTTCTGCGCATCGTAACGTGTTATCAAAGAAACCAAAAGTACGATACGATTCGAGGAATATTTTACTGAATACTCTACTAATGCTTGCTTTTTTAATATCATATAAAATATGATTTATACGTCGAAACTTATTATTGTTGAAAGAATTATTTCCACATCTATTTAATAAATAAAAAAACGAAAAGATAGTAATACATCAACTACGACGATGAAGAAATAGAAGTATTAAACAGAGGATGATGATAACGATTTATCACAGCAACATGATAGTAATGAAGTGTTACGACAAAATGATCTTGATAATGTTATCTTGAACGACGCTGATGAAAAAGAAAATTTTATTCGGGAAGATTAAATAATGATGTAGTTAAGAATAAAGCAAAAGTCTATCTTTCCTGATACACATTTGTTAATTTTTGTTAATTATATATGAATAAGAAAAATTATTAAAAATAAGCAGTTGTTAGATAGAAATATTTTTATGTATTGAAAAAAGGTAGTCACAGTTTAGGGAACGTGAGCTTTTAGCTCCGTTCCCATTCCCACGTTCCCATTCCCTAAATGTAAATGGGAATTCCCATTCCCATTCCCATGGGAATGGGAAAAGGGAAAAACAGGGAAAAATGTCGTTCCCGCAGGACACTACTACACCCACACCCATACATGATAAGTTAGAGATATTATTAGTCACTTTTATTACCTATACAAAAAAAAAGGATGATATTTTTTTGTTAATAGCTGTTACTTTTGAAATAGTGTCAATCGTAACTGTAAATAATTTTTGTATATTCATAGTCACCATGCATAACTAATATCTATAACTCTACAGAAAAGGAACTGAAAAAAATATCAAGCTTGCAGAGATAATTAAGTTAAAATTGCTCAATGAGAAATAAATGAACAATGAATATAAATTATAGCGAACATCTACAATGCATGTCATTTCACAGGAATAGATATTTTATAGGTTGTCTTCAAAATTTGACGTAATGCCATCAAGATTAGTATATACAATAACAGCGGAATTATCCATATTCAATGTTTTGTCTTTTATGACAAATCAATAAATGGAATTCTGTTATAAAGAATGGTCGTTACATATAAAATCTGAACATATTTAACGAGACGGATCAGTCAAAAGAAAACTTATTCAACCATACTATTTCAGCCGTCTGTTATAACCACTTGTTTTTCTTTTTATATTTCTTCTCATTCTCTTTGATATTTATTCTTTTGATATTTTTCTCTCTTTCTTTTTACATCAAACCCTGTGAATCTAGTATGTTACGTTACATTCTTTGTTTATACGTGCTATGAATAAAAACGGGCGTCAATGCTTTTATTTTTTTGATTCATCGAGAGATTTTTCTCTCTCTCGTTTTTATTGTCGCGTTATGGTATAAATATATAGCGCTGCATTATTTTTTCTTTCCGTGTAAACATTAGTTACGAATTATGAAAGGAACGCTTCACGTCGGTCTTCTCTTGCCTGAATCGCATCAATTGTTAGATGGCGCTGGTCCAATTGATATGATAACGATGTTGACTCCTGCATTTCTCGATGCTTGTCATGCTCCACCTTCACTACGTGATAAGGCTGTTCCAATGGAATTTCACTATATTTCTCACTCTCTCGAGCCTGTTTCTCCTGCTGCAGGACCCCGACAACTGCCTACATGTACTTACGCAACTTGTCCACCTCTCAATCTGTTGATGCTACCGGGTTCGCCTCCAGATGCTCATTTCTCGCCGGAATTAATTCGTTTCGTTCAGGAGCGAGTAAATGAAGTTGAGATCGTGATGAGTATCTGCACTGGATCGCTCATACTGGCTCAAGCTGGTGTCCTCAATGGAAAAAAGGCATCAACCAACAAAAGCGCATATAAATTTGCAACCGAAAAATTTCCACAAGTTCAATGGATGCCAAAAGGTCGATGGACTGTGGACGGTAAATTTTGGACTGGTAGTGGAATTACTGCTGGAATGGACATGATGTCCGCCTTCCTGATGTCACGTTACGATCATGATCTAATTAAGTGGCTTCATGCTCTAGCTGAATTTCAACCCAAACAACAAGATGATGATCCTTTTGTATGGCTTTTAGATGACAGTCAAAGTCATTAAATAGATGAAAACTGTTCTACATATTTGTTTAAACTAGGGTGTGCGTGTGAGATGAATACAATATCCGCACCCACACCCTATAAATAGCGTAGATCAAACATTGTATTTTTATCATATTTAAAATAAATTAGTAAATTTTTAGAGTGTGAATCTACTAAATGATGATTTTCAAGTATTAATAACGATTAACGACATTTTGCTTTTATATATCTGTAAAACAAAATTTATCAGATGACTTACAGTGAAAATGAGAAGAATAATAAAGTAACTTTAGTCGTCTTCTAATTCATTGTTTTTTCGTTACAACTAATAGGATATACTCAAAATTAACAATAATCAAATTAAATAAATGATTATTTTATTTAAAAATCAGTTCATAATTTATCATGCGTAAGATCTATTCGATATATACATATATTCATATCACATCTAAAGATGTACAAAAACGATTGTCAGATACGTTCAGACTTTGTTTTTGAAGACAGATTTCTGATATTTCTAGTTTTAATGAAACATGAAAATTCAATAAAACCAGGGTGTGGGTGAGGGTGAGAGTGAAGGTGTGGAATGAAAAGAATACCGTCACTGACACCCACATCCACCCATACCCTCAAGATCAATATTTAAAACTAACATTGTCGACTTCTTTTTAGTGAAAGGACATTTCGGAAAGGACATTTTCAAAAGGACCATTTCCCAAGGACATTTATACAGAGGACATTTAATATGAAGGACGTTTTCTGAAGGACGAAAAACCACGGACATTTTTGCAAAGACATTTTCTAAAGGACATTCTTGACTGTATTCAAACTAAATAGAAGAAGCCGAATATTTGGGAATGATACATATACTCTGTCTCCATGAGAGTTGTAGCTGAAGTTCAGTAATCTAAAATTGTATCCTCAACTAATCTTCATGCTATGCAGCTCTTAGTATTATAATTCCAACGAACATGATTTTTATTTTTACCTTAAATAAAACTGAACATTTAATTCTCCATAGAAAGAACTCAACTGATATCTTAATACATCATTGATTATTATTGTACACATATATATATATATATTTTAATCGATATGTGAAGATAGATGTACGTTCGAGTATAGTCGGAGCATCAATATAGCTGTATTATCACATAATCTTCTCCGTAATTCAATATACACGAACGACATATTCGTCAAAAAGAAATCGACCTATCGATAGCTTCTAAGGAGGAATAAGAATATGCTGGAGATTTTCAATGTGACATACAATTTTTAAAGTATCAGTATACTTTATAAAAAATGTCGTTTTTAAGCTTCTTTTTCTTTCCTTTAATGACGAATCTAAAAATGTATTGAGAAATGATCTTTATCTTGACACCTGAAAGACTTCAGTGCGTACATTTTTCATGAAAATGATTCTCTTCGATATTTCAGTTTTGGTTTATTTCCTACTGACGGTAGTATGGGTGTGGTTTTAGATACGGAGTTGATCATCAATATCTACACCTTCAGTTTTGTCAAGATCTTTTACCAGTTACCTTACTGATTCTACACAGAAATCGTACTTCTCTATTAATCAACCATAATCAATTATCCTTGTCTTGTCAACCTAAGGACAATTTTATTTCGTTTTTTTCTAATCTCGACTATTTTCAAAAGTCTATTCTCTTAATATTGCACTGAACATTCAGCTACTTAACACTTACTTACTACGCTACCTACTAATACTTTACGGGTGTCATTAGTAGAAAAGCAATCAATACACAACACAATTAAAACTTGCTCTATGGCTGTCGACGTATTACATAAAGTATACAGCAAATACATTAGTAGATCACGCAAAATCAGTACTAAGACAACAAAGAAAATTTCATGTAAATATGCTTTAGTACAAATAAATCTACAACTATAAAATTCTTCTTTTACTATGTTGCTTAATTATATGATTTTATTTTTTCATAAGTATAACAATGCAAAGTTCTTTTCAAAAACGATTTGTCTATTATAATCAGTAACTTTTTATTCTGGATTCAAATGAGTATTCGTTTTCATTCGAGGTTGAATCAGAAGTGGACAAGTATCTTGTCCATTAGCAATTTGTGTGATTTTCCACATCAAATCATATTGAATTTCATCTGAAACAACGGAATCTTGTTTATATGCAGGATGAGACATTACAAACTGTCGAATCCATGATGCATCAGTCAATAATGTACCTACAAAAATACATCATTTCAATACAAATATCAAAACGAAATAAATCTACAAACCAGCAGCTCGTTTTGAGATCAATGATAGATAATGTCCTATTGTAACTCTTGTATCACTATTGATATTTTCACTTTCATTGAGATATTTTTCCACTAATGGAATTAAACCAGCAAACTTATCATTACCATTCATTATTTCATTGATTGTCATCAAACTACTTTCACCATCATCACCACTAGCACGAAAATAGAATTTCTCATGTCGAACAGAATCTCGATGATGTGCTCGAACTATGTTTTCATTAGCTTGAGATATTGGAATTGTTAAATCAAGACCATAAGTAAGAATCACTCGAGTCAAAAGAGCCATAAACACAGAAAGTGAAGCATTTTCAAAATCTGTTATTTGTATCTAAATTGTAAATAATAAATACACAATGTCTATATCAGAATAAAATAAAAAACTACAAACATCCATGGGTCGAAATTCTACTCTCCATCCCATTTTATCATCATCAAGTGGTGGTGGTTTGAATCGAAGAGAGTTCCAAACAGTTGAGTTTAAATTCTAAATAAAAATCATTTTCAATTATCTAACAATATATGTTAACTAACATCAAAATGATAAGATGATGTATCATCCTCCAAATGAAGACTTTCTTTTATAACAACTAATGGATCTCGAACAAACAAATGACCAAAATGATGAGCCAAACTCGAAGACATTCCTAATTCATAAACAAAATAGAATATGTTGATATCAAAACAAAATAGGTAACCATGTTCGGTGAGTGTTGATACTACATGTTCATCCACATCAAGTGAAATATCATTGAGATGATTATGTTCATTACATAAATAGAATGGTGCTGGAGAACAACGAGAATTAAGAGTTGATCTTTCACGTTCATCAGGTGTTCGATCATCACCTGTTTGAAATAGAACTTCATATCGAGAGTCGATATCTGTCAAATAACCTCGCCAGATCGGACAGGCATTACTTAACGCTAACTAAAATAAATAAGAATGTATGAAATACGTACTAAGTAATTTAGACAAACCATAATTCCTGTTAATGGTAATAGTTGATCATAAACCTGAAGACATTCTATGAGAGATTGTGCTTGAAATGTGACTTGAAGGCAACAACAACCCCAGCCAGCTAAGATAGAGTCTAAATGAATATGATCATCACGAAAATCTTTTGTTCCTTTGAATGAAAGATCTTGAAATGGTGATGGAGTTGAAGCATCTCTAAATACTGTTATGAGAAAGATATTTAGTTATATTCGTTTTTATGTTTATACTCACTTGGAATGTGAACTAGTGGTGGTCCTTGACTTCTTGCAAGTGAATTAACTATGGATGACCTTTAATAAATAAGTTAATAATAGATATTTTAAGAGAGAAAGAGACCTACTTCATTCGAGGATGAATTGGTGAAATCAGTCTATCTGGATAGTGTATAGATTGTTCGGTAACCTCTTGTAAGTCATCTTGTTTTGATGAATAGATAAACTGGCCTTGGCCATATCTATAAAAAATGAACTAATTTACAATTAGAAGAATTATTCAGAAAATCGACTCGTTACCGAGGAAATGCAGACATGTTTATAATATATTCACAATCTGATTGTTCAGATAATATTTCTTGTGCTTGCTTTCGTCTCAAAGTCATATTAGCTTCTACTGTATTCAAATAACAAGGAAGAAATCCATAAGGTTCACATGGTACGCCTTCAATCATGAAATCACATGTTTCTGGATGCCAAGCAATACTAGGAGTACTACAAGACAGCTAATAGTAAAAATATTGTATCAAGACTAATAACTTACTCATCATGATTTTCTTTATTAGTTTCTACAAGGCGAGGTAGTATTCCATGAGCTTTTAGTAATAACTGAACACGTTTCTTTGAATGATCAAAATGAACCAAAGTAAATTCTAGCTAAAAATATAAAAGAAATAAAAGAAAGATAATAAAAGAATACTGTTTTTTTTACCTCGTCACCCCAAAGGAAAGAATCTCCTTGATAATCTTTGCATTTCTCAAAAATTTTTACCAGTTGAGACAATGCATAAGATCGATAAACTTGACAGATAGGAACAATTTCATTCCAACTTAGCGCAGTACCTTCTGTTAATACACCCATATTTACCTTTGCAGCAAAAGAATCGAATTGCGTTATATGTATAATATTTATTTTTGTTCTTATCTTTTTTTGCGCTATTCGTTTGTGCACGTAAGGTTAAAAAAATATGTGCGTAAAATACTCATAGTGATGTACGTAGTATTTTTTTACCGTTCTAAGCCAATCAGGTTTGATTTGTATCTATTCCTTTTTTGAGGAGGATCTAAATATAGGTATAATGTCTAATATGAGTCAAAAAAAATACACATTAAATCGTAAAGAATCAATGAGAATCAATGTTTTCAATTAACTTTTAACAATAAAAAATTAGAATAGATTTTTTGAACGACAAAATATGCATATGTACGCCAAATCTACTTAATTATATTTAACATGAGTATGAATGTGTGCTTAATCTTACAGCTTATATTATCTGCTACAACATTTTCATTATTAATATCAGTTAGATTTCAATTCATTTAATAAAGTAGATCATCATAAGAACTAATTTTTCTGTTCGCACAGACTATTATTCGAATATGATAAAATATAAGTCATGCTTTCAATCCTGCAATTTGCTAATGTATTAAAAGAACGAAATACATACCATGTTCTACAGAAAAAAAGCATATTGCTTGTAAAAATTTACTATTATTTATTAGATGAAACTTGAATTAGTTAGTTGCAACATACCTTTGAAAATATCCGCACACTTCTACTGATAAAATGAAAGATTACCATAGAAAAGAGTGTAGTCTTGTAAGACGAAGAGGAAGAAAGACAATTTTTTTCAGGTCTCGAACCATTTTCAATAATCCTAAGCTATATTCAAGCTTGAGCATATACAATATCCACACCCACCCTCAAGATGCTACTTATGGAGTATTGTTCTGGGTTCAAAAAGGTTTCAAATCTATATATCTTTATTTACAGTACATGGTTTGTTTGATTTCTGTGATTTTTCACAGTAGCAAAAAAGTTAATAGTACTTAAATCTACCTAAAGAATAACGGGACAACGGTAGAAATTCTGCTCTTAATGCTTGTATTACTAATCAAGGCTTGACAATAGAGATTCTTGAAAAATAATCATCAGTAAGTATTAACAAAATGAGCAGTAACATTTCACTAACTAATAATAAAATCATATTGCCTTATCTATTAGTGTATATAATGATAACAAAATAATTTTATCTTGATTTATTCATTCATAAAAAGAAAATGCATTTCACAGATTTTCTTAAAATTCCACATGTTTTCGATTATGAAGATATAATTAATGAGAATAATCGAATAAATCATTAAAAAATACTGATATATACGTCTACAATGTTGAT